GGGGTGCAGACAGGGAGGGGGAGGGGTGCAGACAAAGAGGGGAGGGGTGCAGACAGGGAAGGGAGGGGTGCAGACTGGGAGGGGGAGGGGTGCAGACAAGGAGGGGAGGGGTGCAGACTGGGAAGGGAGGGGTGCAGACAGGGCGGGGGGTGCAGACAGGGCGGGGGGTGCGGACAGGGAAGGTGGGGGTGTGGAGGTCTGACCAACAGCCACAGTCCTGAGCCCCATGGCCCTGAACCCAGTTAAGGAGTGACTGACCAGGAAATGACTTCCAGGAAGGATCCTAGATTAGTGTCGGCCAATTAACAAGCACTCACCTCATAACAGAATCCAATCTGCCAAGGTCTCCTGTCTGCCCCTCCCCCCCCACATCCTCAGGGACTGGGGTTTGGTCATCAGAGTCACTTCTTGCCCCCAGCACTGCGACCCTGGAGGTGCCCGTCCAGTGCTCACGAATGGATGATTTTTCCTTGGTAGGGGTGGGTGCGACTGCCTCAGCAGGGGGATCTGTTGAGGGGTCTGCAGGGGCATCTACGGAGAAGAGGGCACAGGGCGCAGGGCACCCCGGATTTCAGGGGAAGAGCCTGCGGCAGTGGCCTGCAGCGACGCAGGCTCCCTACCGGCCAGGCTCCCACCTGCCGCCCAACGGAGGCCGAGGGGCCCCAGGTCACCCGTCTACCCCCCCCGCCTCCTGTGTGCCCCTTCCCAGTGTCACATCGTGTCCCTAGAGTCTGCTGCGCCATGCTCTTGGGAGGCAGTCCCCCGCCAGTGCCAGCGGGAGGGAGCCCCAGCCAGCCAGGGCCCTGCAGCCCTCGGGTCTCCCCCTCCCCCACCCCGCTGCACATCCGGGGGGGGGGGTCTCTGAGTGGCAGAGGCCTTCCACATGGGTGCGGGGTGCTAGGACAGGGGCCGGCCCGAGGCCACGGCCACCACTGACTGTGCGTGAGCAAACCACAGCCGGAGACGGGCGGCCCTGTACCACCTCCTGCTTTCCCTCCTAGGAATCAGGCCGCTGCCTCTCAAGACAGAGGCCCCCTGACCTTTCTGCTCACATGTCCCACAGGCGCAGGGCGGTCCCCGAGGCCGCAGGCCACGTCCTCGCCAAGCTGGGCTCTGCACAGATACCACCCACACCACAGGGCCGGTTGGCGGGGGACACAGGGCAGCCCCACTGGCCTCCGGGAGAGCCGGGCGGGGGAGGGTCTGCACAAACAGAGAAGCAGGCTGCGCTTCTCACCAGATTCTCTTTTTGGAAAATAGAGTTGTTTTTCAGGAAACGTCATGCTATTTATGTTAATGCATTTTCATCTGTACACGAGTTGGTGTGCATTCTGAACGGTTCCGATGATTTCAAATACGGTAAGTTAGGACAGATACAAGCCAAGCAGAGAGAAGCTGTCTGGGTTCTCAGTGTTTTTAAGAGTGTTGGGGGTCCCAAGGCCAAAAAGTTTGAAAACGTTGAGTTAGAATTTGCATTTGGCCTGAGGACCCGCAGTTTACACAGGGTGGGTGTCCGGCTGCCTCTCTGCAGCTGTTGTTTACTTGAAATACAAGTTAGGTCATTTGTTTTTGTTTTCATTCTATTCTCGTTGATTCTATTTATTCTGTCCCCCCGCCCCCGAATGTGTGAAATATGAATAAACCTCCAAAAATCAGAATGCTTTCTGTTTAAGCTTAGAAGCTCCCTGGGCAGTTCTGACAGTGCGAGCTTCCCTTCGGTTCCCAGGCCCCTGATTAGGATTCTATTTTCCTGACAGTGAGCAGTGATCAGCTTCAGAGCCTGTTTAGCCGGGCACCCCCCTGGGCCGCCCCACCCCCCACAATGAGCCTTTCGGTGAGTGGGACTGCCCTTCCCACGGGGTTGACTCCCCTCTGGAGGGCTGGCCTCAGGAGGCCCTGGCCAGCAGTGTGGACAGCAGCTCTGTGTACTCTGATGGGCTGTGTTCTCCAAAAGGCAGAGCCCCAAGGCCAGAGATCCCCAAGCTGGGAGCCCCCACTTCTCCAGCCCCTCTCCACCACTCGGACTCCTGTCCGGCCAGGAATGTGCCCCTCAGGTCCCCACCCTGCCCTGAGGGTGAAACACACTGGCCACCCCCAGCCCAGCTCCCCCGCCCCTTGCAGCCGACCTTGGCACCACCTCCTGGGAGACACTATGAAGAGTTTGTTGGGAAGGGGGAGCGGGAGGGAGAGGAGAGGAGGGCGGGGAGGCGGGAGGGAAAGACAAAGAAAGGGGTGCGGCAAGTGGCAGATGCCCGCGGGAGGAGAGTGACCTCAGCGCCAGAGAAGCATCTGCTCAGCCTCAGAGCGAGGGCGGGCCAGTGCAGCGCCCCTTGGCTCCCTCTCGGCGGCCGGGCTCTCTGCAGCTGCCGTACAGGACCCGGGCTCACTGGCCACCGGGGGCTGTCCCTGCGTGTACACTGGAGCTCCCGGCTCCTGCTGGGACCGCCCGCACCCCCGCCACCCGCCCTCCGGCCGCTCCTGCTGGGTGAGTGCGGCGTGTGCGCCCCTGTCCCCTGCGGAGACGCCGGGCCTCCTGGCAGCCAGCAGCGCCCCTAGACCGAGGCGTGAGCCTGCTGTATAGTTCTGGGCGCAGCGAGCCCGAAGTTCACCCTCCGGCTCCCGGGACTCTCTCTGCCGCAGCCCAGAGGAGTGGCGCTCGGGGATGAGCCCCGACGTGGTGAGCAGGCTGCAGGCTCCCCCAGCCAGGGCTCCGAACCGCCCGGCGCCCACCTCCTGCAGCCGCGCTTGCAATCCAGCTGCAACCTGACACAGCTCTGCTTCCAGGGACGGGGTCGGTGCCTGAGCCCAGGGTGGAGCAGCGGGCAAGGATGGGGGGGGCTGCACGCGGGGAGGTCCCTGCACCCCGGGACCAGCGGTGTTCTCCTTCTGCGCTAGGTCATGGGAGCCCCCAGCCAGCCCGCTCCCTGGACCAGGGCCCTCTGGGCTCTCCTCCTGGCGGCGCTGGGCTCTGCCGCCGGCCAGCCGCTGGGGGCCGAGTCCGTCTGCACTGCCCGCCCCCTGGCCAAGTACAGCCTCACCTTCACGGGCAAGTGGAGCCAGACCGCCTTCCCCAAGCAGTACCCCCTGTTCCGGCCCCCCGCACAGTGGTCCTCTCTGCTGGGTAAGTGCCGCCCGGCCCCTGTCCTGCGTGTGCAGCAGCGGGTCCCTCCCGGGAGGGCACGGCCACCCAACCCGGCATCATACTTCAGCTTGGAGGGTGGGTGGGGCTCGACAGAGATACCTGCCAAGCACCGACTGCTGGCGCGAGCTGGGGCCCTGGGGGTGAGGCAGGGGCGGCGTGGCGGGGGCTCCTGCGGGGCCCCCGGGGCCCCCGGGCGCGTCCCCACGGCGGCCTCGCTCGCACAGGGGCTGCTCACAGCTCGGACTACAGCATGTGGAGGAAGAACCAGTACGTCAGCGACGGGCTCCGGGACTTTGCGGAGCGGGGCGAGGCCTGGGCCCTGATGCGCGAGATGGAGGCGGCGGGGGAGACGCTGCAGAGCGTGCACGAGGTCTTCTCCGCGCCCGCCGTGCCCAGCGGCACCGGGCACACGTCCGCCGAGCTGGAGGCCCACGCCAGGCACTCGCTGGTGAGCCTGCGGCCGTGCCCGCCCCGCCCCGTGTCCCCAGCCCCGCCCCCCGTGTCCCCAGCCCCGCTGAGCGCCCGCCCCGCCCCCCCCGTGTCCCCCGCCCCCCGTGTCCCCAGCCCGCTGAGCGTCCGCCCCGCCCCCCCGCGTCCCCAGCCCGCTGAGCGCCCCCCCCGCCCCCCAGGTGTCCTTCGCGGTCCGGATCGTGCCCAGCCCCGACTGGTTCGTGGGCGTGGACAGTCTGGACCTGTGTGACGGAGGCCGCTGGAGGGAGCGGGTGGAGGTGGACCTGTACCCCTACGACGCCGGGACCGACAGCGGCTTCACCTTCTCCTCCCCCAACTTCGCCACCATCCCGCAGGACACGGTGACGGAGGTGAGGGACCGGACGGGCCCGGCCGGCCCTGGACGCCTCCTCCCCTCCCCCGGGGCCAGGGCCCTCGGGCCAGAAGACGCCCCGGCTGCAGGCTGCACGTCCGGGTTCTTTTCCCAGCCTGCGGCCTCGCCCCGCCCCCCGTGGCCTCGCCCCGGAGCCTGTGGCCTCGCCGCCCCCGCCCCACCCGTGGCCTCGCGAGCCTCCCTCCCTAAGCTGCGGCCACACCCCCCGCAGAGCCTGACGCCTGACACGACCCCACCCACGCAGCCTGCGGCCTGAAGCCCCGGCCCCGCCCCCAGCAGCCTACGGCCACGTGCCCTGCCCGCCCCTGTGCTCCGTGTGCCCTGGAGCCCTCAGACGGGGCGGGAAGCCAGCAGGGGCTGCCCGCGGCCTGCGGCTTCTCCTGTGCCCAGACCCCCTGCTCTCCCCACAGATAACCTCCTCCTCTCCCAGCCACCCGGCAAACTCCTTCTACTACCCCCGGCTGAAGTCCCTGCCCCCCATCGCCAGGGTGACCCTGGTGCGACTCCGGCACAACCCCAGGACCTTCGTGCTGCCCGCTCCAGGCCCCCTGGGCGGGGGCAATGAGATCACGGACAGCCTCTCAGGTGAGCCTGCGGGGCCCGGGTGCCCGTGCTCGGACTCCGGGGTGGCCCCGACGTCCCACTGGCCGCACAGGATAGATGCGCCATTCAGGTGTGTAGGTCACACGGGGACCGGTGACCCGGCAGCTGCCAACAGGGAGCCCCATGTGTGAGGCCCGTATGTCTCTGCTGCAGAATAATCCTTAATGGGGAGTGACAACATGTCACTCTGTACAAACAGAAAATGCCCCTACGGGGCTAGAAACTGCCCGAGTCCCCGTCTGTGACATGGCAGCGACAACACCTCAACATGAGCCACCTCCCAAGGCCACACCGGTCACCTGCACGCGACCCCGTGAGGGCCATTAGTCCAGGGACCAGCCTTGCTGTGTGTCCACCCCGCAGGACATACCCTGGGATCCGACGTGAGATGAGGCTGCATGGACGAAAGGTGCCAAGTTGGAAGCCGGGCTCCTGGGGGTGATATGCCCTTAGCCGGGTGGGGCCAGTGGCCTCCGGGGTGCACAGGGGTACAGGGGACGGGGTCAGACCAGGTCACTGTGTTCAGATGGCCTTGGGGCGCCCCACTCTGAGTCACGGGAGCCAATGTCCCTGGGCAAACTCAAACACCAGGGTTTGAGTGTTCAGTGTAGGACGACGTGGATCCTAGGGGTTCCATGCACTGAGCATAAGATTTCGGGGTTCTAGGGGCTTGGCGTTTAGTATAGGGTTTTGGGGTTCTAGGGTCTCAGCGTTTAGTGCAGGATTTCAGGGTTCTGGGGCTTAGGGACATTCAGCACAAGATGATATGGGTTCTGGGGGCTCAGAGTGTCAGGGGTTCAGAGCATTCAGTAAATGACGGACGGAGGTTCTGGGGGCTCATAGCATTTGGTCCAGGACAGTGGGGTTCTGAGAGATTTGGGGTTTAGTCGATTCAAACTGTAGACTGAAGATTTCACTCTTGCACGACATTTGCAAGTGAGAGGCTTTGACCCTTGTGACCGAGACCCCCGTCAGTGGTGTGCCTGTGCATGGCCCATGGCACAGCTGACAGGCCAGGCATTCCACCAAATGGATCCCTCTGTGCCCTCCCTGGCAGAGGGGACAGTGGGGTAGTGAAGGTGGCACTGCCCACCCAAGGGGAGTCCCCACCGCGGTCACCTTCAGAAACAGCGCCGCAGGCAGCGGAGAGCCTGGCCAGCCTGCGCTGCTTTCAGAACAGGCCTCTCAACAGGGGTCCCCCCCCCCGCCCCCAGGGGCCAGACTCGGCCCGTGGAGTCCTGGACGTGGCCATGCGCGGCCTCAAAGCGCAGACGTGCTCACCCGAGGCATCTCAGTGGTTTTCCCCACGTGGGGCGATTGGTGGGTCTGTACCCTGCGCTGAACCACGTGGATAAAGTTCCGCACCTCGTGACTCTGAAGGTCGGAGCTGGTCTTGCTCCGAACACACACCCGGAGGGTCCGTCTGCCACCAGGCTCCTCGCACGGTGCTCACAGCCTCTCCTGTGCTCCGTCCAGGTCCGGAAACCCCGCTGGACTGCGAGGTCTCCCTGTGGTCGTCCTGGGGGCTGTGCGGGGGTCCGTGCGGGAAGCTGGGAGCCAAGAGCAGGACGCGCTACGTCCGCGTGCAGCCCGCCAACCACGGGACGCCGTGCCCCGCGCTTGAGGAGGAGGCAGAGTGCGTCCCGGACAACTGTGTGTGAGGCCAGAGCCCCGCGGCCCTCGTCCCCACGTGCCCGTCCAGCAGCTCTCTGAGCCCCGCCGCCGCCGGGCGTGCCCGGGGCGCCCGGTCCCGAGCCCCCCTCGCGGGTGCGTCTCTGCCGCAAACCGTGTCCCGCTCTGTTCACTACGGTTCAAGCTCGACTTGCACGTGGCGCCCGCTGGGCCACGTGCAGGAGAGCCACACGCCCCAGGCCCAAGCCGCATGCGCGTGAAATACCTCGGCCCTGCTCTCCCCGGCGCCCACGCCCCGGCCTGCTCCTCAGAGCCAGGCTGCTGGGGCCCGTCTCGCAGGTCAGGTGCATAAAGGAGAGGAGGCGCCGAGCCGAGCCTCGGCGTTGTCACGTGACCGACCTCCCTGCACTTGAATAAAGACCATTTCCTGACCACAGGGCCCCTAGTCTCACATTTCCGGGAAGGGCCCTGGGAAAGGCACCGTGAGCAGACACGGGGCCACGCTCTCGCCCCAGAGTAGGGCCACACCCGAGACTTCACGGAGGGCACACAGCAAGCGTCAGGATGGCATAGACGTGCTCAGAACCACCGCACAGCCCGTACACACAGCAGCTGCTCGTGGGGCGGCTGGTGAGTTCAGAGCAGCAGCTCCGCGCGCCTCTGCCGGGAGCTTGTTCCTGCCCCAGACGCTCCCCACCACGGCCTCCTAGAGGTGCCCTCAGGGCTCGCCCGTCATCCACCCGGGGCCTTGTCTGAGGTCGGGGGTCCCAACCTCATCCTGCTGCTGTGGATCCCTAGTGGGTCCCTGAGCCCTGGGGCTGGGCTGGTCCCTCAGGGAATGGCCAGGAGATGGGGAAGGGCTGTTCTCCACTCCTTGGGATCCTTCCAGAACTTTCTTCCTCTTGCTTGGACACATGCAGAATCAGATCCAACAACCACTCAACTCCTTCCTCCTCCCACCTTCCTGTCTATCCATCACCCGTCCACCCCCTCCCCTCCCCCCACCCCTCTGCTCCCCCACTTGCCCACTGCCTCCTCAATGCTACTGCCGGTTCTGGGTCCCCACACCTCCACACAGACCCCCTTCTCCCTCTGCCTCCACGCCCTCAAGCTCACACCTTCCAGCTGGCGGCCACCTTCCCGTCCACTCGCTCAGCGGCCGTCTTGCGCCCCACACGCTCAGACCTGCTGACTAGCCATCCACGCCCCGTGGAAGCAGCAGGTGCAGGGCAGCACACCCAGCTTTGCACACCCTCAGTGTGCGGTGTAAACACTGTCCCCTACGTGGTCATTCTTAGCAGCTAAGCTCTCTCCTGTCCCGGAGGGTGTTTCTCTTGGGCCCCTTCGTCACCCAGGCCTCCTGCTCCCGTGTCCACTTTGCAGCCACGCGCCTAGAAAGGACCCTCTCCTTTCCTGTTCCCGGTGTTCCCCCCCCACAGGAGCCCCCCCCCCCGCTGCTGTCGCGAGCTCTGGGGTCCACCACACTGTGGCACTCGGGGTCCTCGCCCTTTAACTGACGGGAGGTTTGATCTCCGCCGCGGCCCCTCCCCCACTGGCCAGGCAATGCCCATGTCTCCTGGCGCTCCTCTGCTCCCTGATACCCTTGTCCGTGAGCTTGACCCCTACTGCTGCTCCCCTCTCTGCAGAACAGATTTATATCCGAAACGGCCACCTTGACCCTTGGCCTAGAGGAAGAAGCAGTGAAAGCAGGTGCCTGTGACCCATTTCTCCCCCAGCGGCAGGGGGGGCGGGGGGGGGGTAGATTCTCAGCCAACACCTCGGACATGTGCTGATGCCGCAATGTCCTGCTGAACAGACGGGTGGCATTTGCTAAGAGGAGAGGCTTGTCTGTGAAATGTCTCCGCAGATGTTCTCTGTGTACCTCTGGACACGTAGTCTTGGAGCACAGCTGAGATACTTCATGATACAGAGCTTTCCGGGGGCGGGGTTCCAGCCTTTGTGCCCCACCGAGAGCCCAGGAGGGACGTGGATGGTGCGAGGAGGTCCGACCCTCTGGCGGGTGCACCGGAGCTGCTCATGTGTGAACTCCCTGCATTTCAGCACAGTGTCTGCCCGTGGGCAGCAGCTGGCATGAGAGCTCCCTGAAAATGGGCTGAGGTAGAAGGCAGGCACGTGGTGGCAGCCTGCACAGCTCGGGCACACAGCAGAGATGGCAAATACTTGCTGAATGAATGAAGAACTCAATTCACTTTGTCTATTGTGGAAGAGTCCTGATGCTGAGCACCTAAAAATACTAGACCCATTCGGACACCTCTCAGATGTAGGTGATGCATATGTCTGATGGGCCGATGAGGTCGTGGAAAGCAGGGAGTTCCTCGGAGGCTGAGATAAGGAGCTCCAGGAGCCAGGCTGCCCCTGGGACAGCCCTGCTAGCCTTTGGCACCTTTAGCCTGGGACGTTGGAGGCCCTCACCGTCACCTGCCCAGAGCAGGCACAAGCAAACGGTCGGTCCCACAAGGCCACAGCCTGTCTTGCACTTGACTGTGCATAGAGAAGAAAAAAGTTATCCCTGACAATTCCCAAATATAAGCTCATACTCACACAGGCTGAGGTCTGAGATTTCAGTGGAAATCTGAAAAACCCCTGATTAAAAGTTTTGCTTCAAGAGTCCTGGGCTGGGGACACCCTGAAGCACTCGGACAACGGGAGCACAAATCTTCCCTGGACACCTCACTGTGGACTCAGGACTCAAAGAATTCCCACAGTAACATGAATTCACAATCAAAACTCACATGAGGAAAACCAGCATGACCCCTAAATCAGAGGAAACCACAAACTATAAAATCAGAACCACAAAGCCATTGATGGGATTATCATGAATCGGACATGATTAAGCATGTTGACTGTGTTATCCAGATCTGCACTCAAAACTCAACATATACCATAGAACCAAGCACATAGCACGATTACAGACTTAAACCTGGAAAGATGGACTGAACACTCCAGTTAAAGGACAAAGCTGTGTGCCATTTATAGGAGATGGAAGACCCTGTCATGACCTTAAAAGGGGGGGGACACTGTGCTGGAGTTCCCTGTGACACCCAGTCCACATCCTCTCCTGGGGTGTGGGGTTGGGTGAGGCCCCTGGGGGTGATGAGTGTCATTCTTTGGGACCAGAACATCTGTTACCCCGAGCTGCTCCAGACTCTAGTGCACGGGTCAGCATGGAGAAGCCTCTGCAGAAGCCACCTGGGGCCGACGCACTGAGGACAGCCACCCTGGAGACTCGAGGGGGGCAGATGATGAAAACAAACCAGTAAAGAAGAAGATGCTCAGGCTCTGTGCAAGGAGGCAATGGAACAGAAAGAACACTGCTCCCGGTGCTGGTGCTGGTGCCGGTGGTGCGGGGTGCTCTTCCAGGAAGGTGGTTAGGGGCACCCTCATCGACAAGCCCACCTCTGAGCAGAGCTCTGATGCAGGAGGGAAGCCTTGCAGAGGTCTGGTGGTGAGTGTCCTGAGCGGGGCCTGGTTAGAGGCCAAGGCTCTGCTGCGTTGGGGAGGCACCCAGGAGGCGTATGCGGCCCGCACAGGGAGGAGGGGCGGTCCCGCAGGAGGGCCCAGTCGTCTGGGCAGTGGGTGACCTCTGCTCCTCGTGAGGTGAAGAGAGGAGGGAGCACCCGTCGAGGGAGGGCTCTGAGCAGAAGATAAGTCGTCAGTGTGCATTGTGCAGGGACCTCTCGTGGCTCCAGGAGCAGCGTGTAGGGGCAAGGGCAGGGCGAGGGAGGAGAGAGAGACCAGTGCCCTCACCCAACGGAGAGGGAGGTTGGTGCCACAGGGAGACGGTCAAAGTGGTAGGAAGTGGAAGAAGCCCAAGTCCATCCTGATGTAAAGGCAACAGAGATGCCCACAGAGCAGCGTCTAACGGCGCTCCCAGGAGGTCTCAGTCAACCCCGTCACAGCTCGTGGTCCTGCTGGCTCACCGGGAGGGGGCCGAGCGAGGGCAGGCCCTCTGTGCTGCTCGCTTGTGCTGGCAGATGCGCTGGCCCCAGCATCCTCGCGGGGCCCCGGGGAGTCAGGACGCAGAGCCAGCACGTCCACGAGAACTGGCCCACTGCGCTGGCAACCGCGGGCCGGCAATGGGGCCCGGGCTGAACACTCAAGAGGCTAAGGCACTGAGGAGGGACGGGAGGGGTCTCCTGGGCTCCGAGCCTGCCCGGGCGCACCGAGGGGCTTCCTCCTCCCATACCACAACCGCAGCCCGCATTCCCGCGAACTCGCCGCCTGAGACCCGCTCCCACTCCCTCCTCCCGCTGCCACAAAGCAGCAAACAAAACGATCGAACTGGTCATAGCGCAAAGAGGAGCTGGCACGGAGTAAGAGGGCTGAGGAGCTGGGCAAGGCAGAGTCGGGAAGTGAGCCCGGCCCCCCCATGCTGAGCGGGCTCAAGCGCAGCGGCGTCCCCCGGCCCCCACACGAGGGTGTGCAGAAGCAGGTCTCTTCCCCGCTGCCCGGAGGGCCCGAAGCCTCCCACAGATCGAATCACGCAGTGAGGGCAACACTCTTCACTATTGACAGTCAGCAGAAAAAAGGCCCCAAGGGGCTCATTCACCCAAGGTCATAGATAATGAAAGTGTCAGGAATGGGGTATAAAACATTGGACAGAAATGGCTGACCAACAAGGGACAATTAGGAACAAACATCAGTTTGGGAAGGAGCCCAGCGTGAGGACAGAGCATGGTCGCAGGTGCAAGGGCTATGCAGGTGCCGCTGGACAGAGACGTTGCGAGCAGGCGGTGGCCCGGACCGCACCCAGCGTGCAGCACACAGTCGGAGAGACGGAATTGCAGAAAGATGTGGAAGATAAAAAGAGAGGTCGTAAAATGTTTTAAATGAGATGCTTTAAGGATGTGATGGGGATTCTGGAGAAGAGATCGTCGTCCAGGAGAAAATCAGGCAAAAGTTTCAAAACTCGCTAAAATAAACAAGATCTCTCCAGAACCGGAAAGCACAGCATATCTCCAAAAGGACAAGTGAAAGCAGTCCACGTCCACGTCACACAGTCCACGTCCACGTCACACAGTCCACGTCACACAGTCCACGTCACAGGAGAGCGCGGAGCACCAGACACGGGCCAGCAGAAGAGGATGGCGCACCTGAAAAGAAGCATCTAGTAGAAATGACAGAAATTTCTCAACAGCAGCAAAGGGAGTCAGAAGGCAGTCAAATAATACTTCCAGCATGTTGAGAGAAACGGGAAACAGGAAACCCAGAGCTGTGAACCCACCACCACCTTCAGGAAGGAAGCATCTTCAGATGAACAAGACAAGAGGTTAGTACCAGCCGAACAGCACTGAGGAGCTTCCGGGACGAGTCTCCCCCGCCCTGCCCCGTGAAGCAGGGGGGCGCAGGGCCGCCCCGGAGGACACACGCCCTGCACCTCGTGTCCCACGTTAAAGGACCCAGCTCATCCTGCCAAAG